AATTTCAATGAAATATCAATGTATAAATACTCGAATCGTTTTTAATGATTTTTTAGTAAAGTTGTAAACTTTTCTGATTTTTTTATTTTTAATTTTTTTTATTTATTATTTTTTTTCCGATTTCGAAGAAGATGATACCTACCGATTCTTCCTTATTTTTTTGAAGGGTATGGTAGCAGTAGAAAGGCTGAAGAGGGTTAAGGCGGTGGTAAAAGAATCCGATGCTAGCTTCTACCTACATGCCCGGTATGTTCTCTATTTACATACAATAGGATGTATTTTACATTTTTTTTAATGGGTGAAACGAATCCTACTTTATCATTTTGGAATGTATGGTTAGAATTGAATCTGTAATACTGCACTTTTATTTCTTTTCATTATTGTAGATTTTGTCCTGTCACTGGATACTACTATCAACCTGCCCTTTTGATCGGTTAAAGCCAAAGGCACAGGCAACATCTTAATAGGATTGTTGAATTCAAATTCAATGGAATTGCAGGAACTTGCTTTTACTTCATCGTTATTTGTATTAGATACGTTTGAGTGTTGTTTATTCAAGTACAAGTAATCTGTTATTTCTGCATTTAATTTTAGTTAAATACAATAAATAGCAACCTACTTTCATAACTATGTCTATTGTTTGATCCTCCTGTTATAATATAATACTTCAACATTGATTCCAATCCACATGCACCATTCCAACCCACACAACACCATTTCTGACCAGCGCAACGCGCTGGAATGCATCTACTTATAATTATGGATATTATTTAATATAAATATAATTATGCAAATCATTTAATATCTATCTTTATTTAATTAAATAATTATTTAATTTACTAAATTTATATTGATGCATTCATAAAATATATATATATATATATATATATATATATATATATATATATATATATATATATATATATATATATACCAAGTGAATCATCCCCACGTGTATTGTGTGGCCCTACGTAAAATTTAGATATGAGAAACCGTTGTATTAAATGTTCGAAAAAGCTTATTTCAAAAGAGACACATATTGCACAATTTTCATTTGTTTTTGATAAAGATCGAAAAAGGTTGAATGTTCAGCAGCTCCTTAGGATCGGAAAGTGACCCAGATTGAAACCAAGGTCTTTTATTTGACCCAACACCAAATAATAATATGCCACCCCTCGCCCATGTAATGACATCTTTTTCTGTGGGTGCAATGCAGTTTAAAAAAATAAGAGTAAAGTATATGAATGTCCCTATGGTTTGGGTTAATTTGTTCGTTTGTCTCTAACTTATTTTTTTAACTTGAAAGGTCCTTACTATTTGTTTTTGTTACGCGTTTGGTCCTTACTATTTTTTTTATTACGCACGTGGTCTATGTCTTACCTAAAAAGATTATTATTTAAATATGGAAAAAATATGGGGTAGGTAAGGTAATGTGAGGGGGTGGGGTTCGGGGTGTGCTAATTTAAATAATTTAAAAAATCAAGGGCAAAATAGTCTTTTTAGGTAAGACAAGGGCCAAACACGTAACAAAAACAAACAGTAGGGACCTTCCGATTTAAAAAAATAAGTTAGGAACCAAACGCGCAAATTACTTTAAACCATCGGGACCATTCGTGTAATTACTCAAAAAAGTAACAACAAAATACAAAAAAAAAATTATATTTTTTTGTCTAAATGCTGAAAAATTTTAATATAATAATTACATTTTGTTTTTCAACTTCGACCATAAAGATAAATAAACATAATACCAAAACTTATCATATACAAAAAATCAGTTTTAACAAATGTCTACACGACAATGTTTTATGTAACACGAACACGACACGACATGATGTCGTGTTTTTTCTAAATAACACGAAAACGAACCAATTAAAAAAATGACAAACACGACACGACACGACAAAAATAACATAATATAACAATTAGTGTATTTAATTAATATTTAATCACACATAACACGACAAACACGAAAAACACGACAAATAAATGCTAAATCGTGTCAATATCGTGCCGAATTTTGAACACGACACGACACGACATCGTGTTTTTTACTCTTGACACGAACACGAATTCGAATTTCAGTTTCGTCCCAATTTCGTTTCTTGTCGTGTATTTTTTTCGTGTCGTGTCAACAATTGTCACCCCAAAGATAAGTTTAAATGTCTAAAAAACAAGCATATGATTAGGGGAATGTCAAAAGTAGGGCCGTAAACGAACGGAACATGAATGAGGGTTGTTCATGTCCGTTCGTTTAAGTTAGTCGAACAAACAAACGAACACGAACGGATAAACTAACAAATTTTCTTGTTCATGATCATTTGTTTATGTTAATAAACATGCTAAACGAACATAAATGAACGAAGATAAACAAACATAATTCAACATGTATAAACATAAACAAACACCTATAGTAATTTAATTAAACATAATTGAACATTTATGAACATAAAATGAACTTAATAAACAAACATAAACGAACAAAATAAACGAACGTTGACGGACATAATTAAACGAATAAGACCGTTGTTTATGTTCATTCATTTAACTAAACAAACGAGAATTTGTGTTTATATTCGTTCATTTATTAAATAAACGAACTTACCACCGAGCGGTTCACGAATAGCTCGTTGAATGTTCGGTTCATTTACAGCCATAGTCGGAAGGGTAACCCATTCGTGTTATAAGTTCCGATATTTGTGTTTGCATTAAGGGTGACCCTTTGGATGTGATTTCCTGAATCAAATCAGTACCGTACCTTATACTCCAGTTTGGTATTTGGTTCTTATTTTTAGCCACAAACGGTTCCAATACTACACGACTTAGTGATCTTTCGTTTTGTTTGGTACTAAATGGTTCATTCAGATTCCAACACCAAGCTCACCCCTAGTTTACATTTCTTCCGTTATTAATCAAGAAACCAAAAACCAATCCAAAACGTCGAAATTTAAAGCGTCCAATGGCAAAATGAAAGGTTTTTAGACTTTTACAATGAACGCACATGCACCAGATTATACCAAAACATACATTTTTTTTTACTTTATTTTTTTTAGACCATGTTTTTTTAATCGAAAAAAAAAAACAAATATATCGTTGTTCATGATTTTTCGTCATTTCCATAGAGATCCATATTGATATAAAAAATGAACTTTAAAAAAAACAATTCATTTTCTTTGTTTTTTGAAAAATTAAGATCTATTTTTTATCGAAAAAAATAATAAATATATCAAAATTCATATTTTTGGGGTATTCTTTAAACATATATTCATATTGATATAAAAAAAATCAAAATTTCAGCTTAGATTCGCATTGTGAATGTGAATCTACTCAGATTCACGATGTGAATAATAGTAAGTCAAATTCACATTATGAATTCTGAAAACTGAATTATATACAGTTAGATTCAAAATGTGAATAAATTCATTTATTGATTTTACAAAACTAATTTATGTGTAATCAAAACATTAAAAATTATAAAATTATATAGGAATATATTTCGGTTCATATGTAAATTTCACTAGATTAATTTGTGAATGATCAAAGAGTTGAAATATTAAGTCATATTCACAGTGTGAGTGTGAATCTGAACAGATCAAGGTTATTTATTTATTTATTTATTATTATTATTATTATTTTTAAATCGACGTTGATGTTTATTAATAAAGAACAAAAAATTGAGATTTTTGGTATTTTTTTTGGGATAAATATAAACCTAATCATTGAAAAAAAAAACTACATAATGAAGTGGTTTTTTTCGAAAAAAAAAGTTTGTTTTCGTATATCAATATGAATTTCTATGGAAAGACGACAAGAAACAACAATGGTATATTCAATGTTTTTTTCGTTAAAAAAACATGACCTAAAAAATTTAAACGAAAAAAATAAAGGCTTATAATACTGTATAAAACTGTATGGTAAATTTAACGAATTACGATAAATAAACGTCTAAAAATAAAGGATTATTTATGATAAATAGTCTTAACGAAAGTTGTAGTAGATGTGATGGAGATTCCATGGGCATAAAGAACACTCAAATCTGACTTCGTATGAAGAATTTATGATTGTTCGAAGTTTTGCGTTCAACCATATACAACAAAGTGCGTCATAAAAGTGAATCAGAGATAGGTTGTTTATTAGCCTAAGTGATCTAAATGAAAGTCGTAGAAATCGTAAAAGCGAGAGCGTACATATATAGAACGCCTAAATCTGACTTCATAGGAAGAAGTTATCATTTTTCGAAGTTTCGGTACAGTAGTGTGCGACATATAAATCGAAATTTAAATCGGTTGAGTGTTAACCAAAACAATGTGAACGATAGTTGAAGGAGTTATGTGTTTCACATTCTATTTTAAACTTGGTACAGTAGTGACTTTCCTTTAAAGAAAGTCGAGAACGGAGTTCATATGAAAGAGTTATGAGTTTCGTACGGATTTTAACAGTGTAATCTGACTAATCTTTATAAAAATATGAACTTAAAATAGATTGTGAATTAGTTGTTGAGGTCTAAATAAAAAGTTGTAGTGATCGTCGAGCCGATTCCAGAGATATAAAGAAAAGTCGAAAACGAAGCTCGTATGCGAAAGTTATGGCCGTTCAACTTAAAACTTATATTTCAAGACTTTAATTCATAGTTTAATAAAGTAGTTTAGACTTTTCCTTCACAAAATTTACAACTTAAAAACATTGTTGATTTTGTTAAAGTATTTCATCAAATACATTGTGTACACCACACAAATTCACAGTTTAATAAAATAGTTTTGGCCTCTCATTCATAGTATTCACAAATTAAAATATATTAATTCACTCACTCACAGTTAAAACTAACTTTAACAAAACTAAACAATAGTTGAAATGTTAAAAATCACAATTCACAACTTAAACAAAATAAATTCATATTATTTGAGAAAACACTAACATAATAATACACATTATAATTTCAATTCATAGTATAACAACCATAAAACATAAACTGTGAAAAATTTATGATTAAAAAAATAAACAAATGAGAGATTAAAAAAACATTAAATTTACAGCTTAACAAAAGGAAAAATAATCAAAAGAAAAATCGATATACCTGATGTGTTTCATCGAAGATCACATAGAAAGAAATGGAGGAGGTGGCGGTGTAGGAACAGATCTACGGTGTTGGAACCACCATCGGCCAGCGGTATCACTGTTATAGCTTCAGATAGCACCACATAAAACAGATCTAGAAAATTTGGACCACATACACTAGTTCTGACCGGATCTAAACATGATGTCGACATTAGAAAGTGAAGCCGAAACAACTTTTTGACTCCAGAACTAAGACTAGGTGGTGATCGACGATGGGTCTGAAGGTATTTTGATCTTGTTAACAATGATTGACAAAGGCGTTGGTTATCGTCGCTCGCTGGAGCTCATAAATCTGGAGGAGAAAATTGTAGATCTGAAGGCGAAAATCGTATATTTGGAGCCAACCAAATGAGTTATTATAATAGAAAACCTATTTTTTAAATGTCTTTTTATGTCATTTTATACCTTTCAGATTACCTGTTATTTTTACAAAACATCATTTTTTATCAGCTAGTTATTCATATAACTAGTTTTTCAGCTATTAGCTAACTTTTTAGCTAACAGCTACTTATGATGTTAGTTAATTAAAAAGAATAATCAATATAATTAAAAAAAATATAGATGAAAGGTATAATGTTTAAAAAGAATCTTGCGGAAAACCACAAACTTGTGTTAAAAGTGTGAATCCCACATCAGATGTTCCTTATCAAATTGGTGTGCAGCAAGCTGTAAGAATAAAAGTTATGCATTAAAACCTGACTTGGTTTATTTCTAGGTCACACCGGTTTTAATAGAAAAAGTTGATTTTCATTGAACAATTTTCAATTAAAACCGGCTGGTTCAGAATCGTTTAGTAACAAATGGTTTTGGGTATAAAAACACCTGTGATGTGGCTAATTCCTGATTTAACTGGCTGGTTTGTTTCTGTTTTCAAAACCATGGTTCTTTGATATCTTTGTTTTTTTTAACAAATCGTTTTAAAAAAAGAGTAAATTACTAAAATCGTTCCCATGGTTTGGTCAAAATTGCCGGTTTGGTCCCTAACTTTTTTCACTTGGAATCGTCAATGTGGTTTGATTTTGTTGTGTTTTTCGTCCCTTACATAATGTTAGGGACCAAACGTGTAATTTCTACCAAACCATAAGAACAAAAACGCAACAAAACCAAACTACAGGGACGATCTGAGTGCAAAAAAAACAGTTAGGCACAAAACATAACAAAATCAAACCATAGGGACGATCCGAGTACAAAAAACGCAACAAAACCAAACCACAGGGACGATACGAGTGCAAAAAAAAAAACAATTAGGCACAAAACATAACAAAATCAAACTACGGGGACGATCCGAGTGCAAAAAAAATGTTATGCAATTTTGACCAAACCATTAGGGATGATTTCAATAATTTACTCTTTAGGAAATTAGTATTCTCTTATGCTTGTATTTTGAGATTTCTAAGTGTTTAAAAACAAAATTATTTTATACTTTTTACATAATCATTTTTCATGTATCTATAAGTTGTAAAACATGTAAAAAATTTGTTTTTTTATATGTTTGCCAGTGTTGTAAAAACGGTCTAGGCGGTCGATTAATCGTTACCTATACCTTAGGTAGCCTTACAATTAGTGCTGGTCGGTCATGTTAGTCGACCTTGGTGCTAGTCGGTTCTAAATGGTCAAAGTTTGTCAACAAAAATAAAAGATCAAAATTAATAAAATAGTCAACAAAAAAAAGTACATCAATAAAAAGTGAAAAAATTACAATATTGAAGAGAATAAGTAAACAAAAAGCCATTTTTCTCATTTATCATTACGTCTCTTCTTTTATACTCTTACTAGGTGTGAGGCCCATGTGATACAAGTGTTTATTTAATAAAAAAAAAACTAAATACAAAATTCCAAACATTTGAAAAGTATGAATTTATAAGAAAAGTGAGAAAATATTGAATTATAAAAATTAAAGTGTTTTTTTTTCTCTTTTAAATTTAAACAAATAATTTAGATAAATAAATAAATAAAATTAATGAATCTTTAATTTGGTAATTTTGAAATTAAAAGGAAAGTTCATTAATGAAGTTGATATGTATTTATTATTGAATATAAATACTATTTACAATTTAACAAAATGAAAAAAACCATAAAATGACATGTAGAATAAAAATTAATTTAAAATAACCACAAAATTATATGTGGCAAAATAAATAAAAATGTGACATGTGGCAAAAAGATCTTTATTTATTATGAAGGATTCAATGGAATCGACAGCTTCATTTGTTTCTTTTCACATCGACGTCGATGCCAATTATGGACTTTATATATGATGATTTGTAACTTCAATTCTTAAACAAAAGATTATGATTTTTTATGGTGGCTTACTTATTTTTTTAAGGATATTGATAATATTTATTTGTTTATTAAATAAATTCTTTTATAATTTAGGGACTCTGATTAAACCTTGTCTACGTCAATTAACCCCAACCCCAATCTAAGCCGTCCATCATATTTTACAACCTTGTATTTGTTTTAAAAATAAAAAATGCACCTTATGGAGTGGACTTTTATGTTATAATTAAATTTCAAAGGGTATCAAAGTCCATTTTCCTCTCCCATTATATATTTTGCCACAATGCCTTTTTGAGAATTGCAATACTACAAATTCAAATTCCCTAAAACCATGTGATAAATTTTAATTATTATTGTAGTTTGTGAGGGTAGAAGAGTAAATTTACTTGCCTTCTGATTTGGATGGGAATCCAGCGGAAACAAAGGAAGTAATTCAAACAGTCATTTTGTTTGAAGTAGTTGTGTAATAGGCTGTTGAGTAGTTTATCAATTACCCTCATACTTGAATAAAAAACCACATTTTAAATAATTTGAAATGTTTCTCGATGAAAATGCAATAAATATAAAATGTGGGTGACAGAAGTTGAAGGGCAAAATAGTCATTTACCTGCCATTGGTACTATGATGTCTTAACCGACACAACATACTGCTTCTCTGCATATGTTGAATCGTATGAATAAGATCCCAACAAAAATCCTAAAACCTGGAATTTACATGACATGAACATATTTAGTTAAAACTAGCCAAAAGGGTAAGGGTAAATGCGTAAATTTAACCAAAACCTTGTTTTGCAAGTTGTGTTTCATTCCCCCGAAGAATAGCATGAGAATTTTAACTACCGAAGCACAACTACATATGTGGATAGGAAGCATGGGGTTTCACACAACCTCCACAATGAGTAAAGAGAAAGACCACTGATTTATGTGAACCAAAGCCCAAACACAAATTTAAAAAAAAAAAAAAAAAAAAAAAAAAAAAAAAAAAAAAAAAAAACATCATTTAATAAATTAAGTGAACTTTTAAGAAGTATAGAGGAAACTCCCGGACTCCTCCACTATAGAAGTATAGAGGAAAGAATGCTAGACCTGAAATTAGTGGATCATATTTCAAAAATCATAAATATTTTTTTCCCTTGTGGCATCATAGAAAAATAATTATAACAAATCAACATGATCCAATTATAGCACAAAAGAATGTATCATCCATCATACCAGATGATAAAACTACAATAACATACTGCCACTGAAAACTTCTAGTCTGTTCCCCGGAAATACTCTGCAAGATGAAATCGCAATAATTATTATTATATGTGGATGATAGAAGTTGAAGGGCAAAATAGTCATTTAGCAGCCATTAGTTTTTGATAGTCATGTAGATTTCTTAATGAGACAACATACAGCCTCTCTGTGCGTGTGGAATTGTATTTGTATGAATTAGATCCCATTAAAAATGCCCAAACCTGGAATTACATATCATTAACAGATTTAGTTAAAATTACAGACGAAAGGGTAAATGTGTAAATTGTACCAAATATATAAATACTTTCATTTCTTTACTAATAGAAGCAATTTACTTTATTCTTTATTCATCATCTCTTTACCCATCATAGCAGTGAAAAATGCTTAACATAGAGGGTATTTTTTGTTGGGTTAATCGGGTTTCGTTCACGGGTTACGGGTCAGTCAAGGAGTTGTGAGTTTGCATGGTTAACGGTAGTTTTTGATTTGTTTATGTTGACTAGGTTTTAGTGGATAATAAAGTATGACTTGGTGTCATGTAATTAGGTAAACATGGGTTAGCTTTTACTGGGAAGTCTATCCATTAGTTTAGGAAGTTGGTTTTGTTTTATTCTATTTATTTTGAAGCTTTCATATATATATATATATATATATATATATATATATATATATATATATATATAGATTGTACTTTTCGTTGTTTGGAATATACAACAGAGAGAAAAAGTACCAAAACCAAGTGTGTCTATCTTCATTCTTCCTTTTCTATCTGGGTGTATTTTGAGCCATACGTATCTGATTTCAAACATTTTTGTCATAACAACAAAAGTAGCAATGTATTTTTATCGAAAAATTAGAGTAGCATGCTATTTTGTCATTACATGAAAGTAGCATGCTATTAAATAAATCTTTCATGAAAATGATTCAAAATAATCAAAATCCATCTAAATTTATGTGTACTTGCTCTTCTTCAAAAACCAGAATCAACGTTGCAACCTCAAACATCAACTTGAGTTCATCTTCTTTCACAAATGGCTCACTAGTGCAAAATTTAATTGGAGATCATTAAATTATTATTTAAGACATTAGTTAATTTGATATTATATTGATGCTATTTTTATTAGAAAGTATAAAATAAAGTATGCTTACCACAGCCCTAGCAACTGCAGTAGCATTATGAACAGCTATACTTTTGGGAGTAAATTCAGTGAGAAGTAAGACAACAACCAAATAATTATACTTTTCAAATAATGAACTTTTATTTTTAAATACACACACTAGTTGCTGTTGTTGCTGCTTCTGTGAAAAGTGCAGTAGCTCCCATGTTAAATATGTAGTACCATGAAAACCCTCAAATTAACTGTTACTTTTGTACAACATTAGCAAACTCTCCTATAATAAAGCAAAAAAAAGACCTTGTGTTAGGTTTTGGTGCCCTTTCAATCATACTAAATGTCAGATCATGATATGAGATATTATATTAACACTAAGAAGTCAACAGAAGTCAAACTTCCCTATCTGCTTTATAATCTGAGAAAAAGCAGTTTCCCGAGGTCCTACAGTTGTTAATGCGGTCTCTTTCTTCAGCCATGGATCAACCACAAGATGAACATCTTCTACCTATCAAAATGAATTGAAATGTTTTTAGGAACGTAGATTTCATTCAGCCTACACTATCTTTGTTATAAATCCAACAATTAAATAATGAAACTGTAAGATAAATATATCCTTCGAAACATTTCGCATGTATGCTAAGTAGTAATCAGCAAAGTAAAGTTTGGGTAGGTACGTATCTTCTACCTATCAAAATGAATTGAAATGTTTTTAGGATCAACATAGATTTCATTCAGCTTCTTCTTGTGGTTTCTGCATTTAGGTTCAAAGAAAACCAAAAGAATACAATTTTAGACGCATAAAACCTTTTTTGCTGATTTGATTTATCTTTAACTAGAAACCTTGAAATGGGTACCTTTACATTCTTATATGAAGTTGGAGCTTTATTATTTCACTTTCTGATGTCACCAAGGGCTAGCCTGTTTCTTCTTTCTCCTTTCCCTGCAATTTTCTGGTTTATATCTGCTACAGAAGAATCATACTCAGTCAAGATGTAATGGGAAATCACCGCAATATAACACATACATAATGTGAAGACTAAAAAATTTGAAATCTGAACCACTTTGTGACTGATCAAAACCCATTACTTGCAGATTTTCAACATGAAATTTTTCAGTCAGTAGATAATTTGAAGAACAAACTCACTAAAAGCCATTTTTTCTAGTGAAAGAAACTCAAAATTTGAAATGATTCGAGATTTTCTTAAACTGTGGATCTCAAACTTTACAAATGAACTCCTCCTATAAACGAATCAGGACACAAAGAACAATATTATACCATGACTCAAACGTCTTTTGTTAATTTGAATACCAGAATCGCTTAAAGTCACAGGTCAAAACCAAAACAATAAAATAGAGCAGTGAGATAAATTTATTTTGATGAGTTTCGGAACCCTAGATCTCAAATTTAGAGGGAAGTTCTCCCAAAACAACATACGAACAAAGATATTTCAAAAAGATTCAGCAGACTCATGAAAAAAATCGAATGTCATATACTAAAAAGTAGTTTTTACTTTGAAGTATACATTCGCTAAAAACCACATTTGATAAGCAAAACCACAAACTGCAATTTATCTATTTGAGTTTCGAAACCCTAGATGTCAAAAATAGAAATAAAAATAAATAAACCTCTGTTTGAATCGGAAGAACAGGTTCGTTCAAATTCAATTCTTCTCCTTGTTCTTGCTACGAATCAACCTTTTCGAATACCATCGGTTTTTAGATCTCCGGCGAAGGATGGTGATGCGTTGGTCTCGAAGGAGGAGCGGAGGAGTTTCTGCCTGGAATCGCAATGGGTCTATGGGTGTTTTGGGGTTCTGTTGGAGATGAAGAACGTGAACGTTATATATTGCGGGAACACTAAGCCAACCTTTCGACTTCTAACGGTCAATATTATAAAAGCTTTCCGAAATTAAGAGTTCTTAAATTACAGCTTCAAACTTATTAACATGTTTGTTTCTTGTTTTTATAGAGAAGAACTTACATTTATTACAATGTTTTTTTAGTAATAGGTTTTGGCAATACTTAGAGCATCCACATCGCCTCTTGGAATCTCCTTTCAAAGTACATATAGACTTCATTTGCAAGCCAACTAAGCATATATCTTTCAGCAGATGAAAGGCTTGCAAATCATAAATGGGACCCATCATCTTTATATAATACTATTTATATATTACATCCTTATTTTTATTAACATTCTAATTAATCAATTTCCTTTACATTATTTTAAGCACAATAGGTTCGATCATCAAATATTGTTTTCAACATTATTTTTTTATAGACTAATGGTCAAGTTCGTTATTATTTGATGAGTATTTATTTTAATAATTGTTTTTATTTAGATTACACATGGTCATTACTTATACTATTTTATTATTGAATTAATATTAAAGTAAATATCTTATAAAAAAATAAAGTAGTTATTGATGTGGCAGTGGGGACCACATTTGAAAGAAGGTTGTTATTGTACTGATGTAGAGGTAATTATAAAATCTGATGTGTCACGTTTGAAAGACCAGTTGTATTGCACTGATGTGGATGGTCTTATGTTTTTTCACCTAGATGTCGTCCATGACCCCCATCATTTTTATAACACCCATTGTCCCATTATTCGATTTTTGACATAGTTACAATCAAGTAAATAACTAAAATAATTATGTAACATTAAAAAAATAATTTATAGTAAAATAAATATTTATAACAACAATAAATAAATAGAAAACCATAAATAAAAGAATAAATGTAAAGAAGATTTTTTTTTTAAATCCTTGAATGTTAACATTTTTGGAACTAGGGGCTAGTTGGCCATTATGGATAAGTTTGGAGGATGAAAATTGGTCGTTTGTTCTCGCTTTCATGGGGGATGGGTGTTAGTCCCTTTCGTGTTCGTTTGGTTCGTTTACAGCCCTACTTGCATACCTTGAATTTTTACCATTAGGGTCACTGTATTTCAATTAAAGAAATGTACTGATAGCATTAATATGGCATGGTTGTGGCCACCTAGTGTGAGCAAATCCCATTTTGCTTACTCTACTCCATAGTGGCACTTAAGTAAGTAGCATGAGTGTTTGTCTATAGTGCAACCAAAAATAAAATATAACACCTCCTAATTTAAAGAACCCAACACAGATGAATGAAAAAAAAAATGTTCATGTGTATAAAGACAATTTACATACCTGCAAGTACATTATCTAATCTTGGATCACTAAAACAAAGGCTAAGATTACCAATGTTGTACCACGACTAATAAGAGCAAGGAGGTTGATTTTTTTAAACAATTACAAGAAATTAATAAGCAAAAGCATGTTGAACATTTTTTAATTGTTAGAAGATCGAATGCAGTACCTGAAAGGTGAGGCTTTTTCCACCTTTTCATTTTTTAATTCATAATAATTAATATTATTTTTTATTTTTAAAACCTTACTAAAAAAATACACTTACTCTCATGTTGAACCAAGTTTCATTAGGGGTTAATCCTGCAGCATGGCAATGCTCAAGGCAAATTGCCACTGGTTGATGCAAAACGTTTGCAGTTCTCCAGTATGTACCAAAAAGACCAAAATACCCCTTCAAATAAGTAATAGTAGTTTCCACACCCACTTTGTGCACACTCTTACCATTTAAAACTGAAAAACATAAAATTAAAGCGGTTTGATGAGACTTCAAAATTACATGCAAATGGTAGAAAGATGAAAAAAAGGGAAGAGATAGCATATATGTGGTGCAACACATGTTTAATGAAAACCAATATTCACAAGAATTCCTGAGGTTTTTTTGCTACAAACAAAGCTAAAGACCTAAAGTTGCCTGCACATTATATAACATAATTTTTTTAGGGATCCGAGTGTTGTGTTATGAAGTCAACAAACATGGTGAAACCTGATTGATTGCACAGACAGAAGGAACATTCAAGTGAAACAGTGTTGAGTAGACGTCTTTCTTTAGTTGTTGTCTAGCAGTTTTAGCAGTTTCTCTATCTGAAACACATTCACAAAATAACAATATGAAATCACATCATAAATGTGAAAATCAGTGTGATAAATGAAAATTTATATTATTTATTAGAAAGTATACCGTAACATCTCGATTTTCAGGTATTTACCTTTTTACCCCTTAGTATGAGAATTGTTTGCAAATTTGTCTTAAGTGGCATTTTTGTAATTTTGGGGACCGCGTAAGTACGCTAGGCGTACATATGGTAGGTTGGGCGTACGTGGTCAGGGTGAAAACCCTAATTTTTAGGGTTTCGACCCTATTTAAACATCCTTAACCCCAATACCTGTTTCTTTCATCAGCCTCCAAGCCCCATTTTGACCCCTTTGCAAACCCTAATCCATTTGAGAGCATCTTGAGTCATTTGTGTGTGTTTTGGTGATCTTGAAGGAGGAATAAAGAATAGGAGACCACCTTAGAAGAGTGGGGCACCTTGAATCAGATTTGGTAATTGTATATCTTTCTTATTATCATACGTAACATATACAAGGGATATATATAATACATATAGTTACAATCTAGTCCCTGTACTAATATTATCTTGTCTAATATCCCACCACAAGCTAATGTCGGGTATGAACATTAAGCTTGGACTGTAACCCCTCAACTCGTTATGAAGATAATGGTTTAGTAAATATATCAACAATCTTATCGTTTGTATATATAAACTGGACTGAGAGACACTTCGCTGCAACCTTCTCTCTGACAAAGTGGAAATCGACCTCAACATGTTTTGTGCGAGCATGAAAGACAGGATTAGCAGATAAGTAGGTGGCACCAAGATTGTCACACCATAGAACTGGTGTCATCGTGACTGGAATGCACAGTTCTCGAGGTAAAGTTTCAAGCCAAGTTACCTCAGCAACAGTATCGGTGAGAGCTTTGTATTCGGCCTTAGTAGATGAGTGAGAGACAGTCTTCTGTTTCCTTGCGGACCAGGAAACAAGATTCTTACCAAGATAGATATCATATCCCCCGGTGGATCGTCGGTCATCCGGGCACCCTGCCTAGTCAGCATCAGAGTAGGCAGTTAGTAGAGGGGAGTGACCATCACCATAAGCATGAAAGGTATTGGCGTGTGAAGGCGTGAGACATAAACCGAAAGTGCTAGTGCCTTTAAGATATCGTAGAATCCGTTTAACCGCTGACCAGTGATTAACAGTTGGGGAATGCATGAACTGACAAACTTTGTTGATTGCATAAGTAATGTCCGGGCGGGATAAAGTAACATACTGTAGTGCCCCAACCGTTTGATGATATCGAACCGGGTTTTCAAAAGGAGCACTGTGACCAAGAGTGAGAGAGGTGCCCGTGGGAAGAGGAGTGCTACCAGGGTTGGCATTTGTAAGACCTGCATGTTGTAAGATGTCTAATATATACTGTTGCTGAGACAAAAAAAGATCAGTTCCATAATAGTTACCGAAACACCAAGGAAGTATGAGAGAGCTCCCATGTCTTGAAGGGCACCGGTGACAACAGGGCTAAACGTGTCATGATAGTAAATCCCAGGCTGTTGATGAAAACCTTTAGCAACAAGGCGAGCTTTGTAGCGTATAACAGAGTCAGTCTGATCATGTTTAATTTTATAAACCCACTTGCAATCAACAATGTTAGAGTTAGGCTTACGAGGAACAAGCGTCCAAGTTCCATTGCGAATAAGAGCGGCATACTCATCAGCCATTGCTTGTTGCCACTGTTCGAAAGTAGTGGATGCATGGAAGGCCGAAGGTGTAAAGTGTTCGAAAGTAGTGGATGCATGGAAGGCCGAAGGTGTAAAGTGTTGCACCTGTTTTGGGTTTGGATGCAAATTTGCAGGACGAGACCGAACAATAGATGGGGCTGCAGTAGAAGTTGGTTGGGATTTGGTAGGGGTTGTTTGGACCGCATGAGGGGTTGTTTGGGCCATGGGGGAGGCGGATGTGGCCTCATTTGGGACGGTTGATGCACCGGTGTGAACAGGAACGCGTTTTCGCCGACGTTCATAGATGCGAAAAGGCTCGGCCTGGGGTAAGGTTAGGGCTGGAGGGTCGGGGTCAGATATAGTAGGGAATAGATAAGTTGGCACATAAGGATCATGTGGAGGTGTCTCAGGCGGTACGGGTTTAGGTGCTAAAAAAGGGAATGAAGTTTCATGAAACCATACATGTCGAGATATGTATAACTTGTCTGTAGTACGATCAAGGCACTTGTACCCATGATGAGATGAGTTGTAACCGAGAAAAATACAAGCAATGGACCGAAAATCCATTTTGTGTTGATTATAGGGTCGTAGATGATGGAAGCATTGACACCCAAAAACTTTAAGAAATGAGAAATTTTGTTTACGTCTAAAGATGGTCTCAAATGGTGAGACATGGGAAGTGATACAAGAGGGCATTCTGTTTATTAGATAGACTGTCGTGTCAAAGGTAAAGTGTCAATAAGTATTTGGAACCCCCGATTGAGCAAGTAAGGTCAAGCCAGTTTTGACTACATGGCGATGTCGTGTAACATCCCCCTATGACATGTATCACAATATTGTCCGCTTTGGGCTCCCGACATGAAAACTTCCCAGGGGGTCACCCATCCCTGGATTGCTCTCGCTCGGCCCCATTATGTGGATACCTTCCTTGTCACAACGCGTTTTAAAGTCGTGAGGGCAGCAGATCCCATAAGAACTCTGCAGTTAAGCGTGCACGGGCGAGAGCAATCCAGGGACGGGTGACCCCCTGGGAAGTTTTCGTGTCGGGAGCCCAAAGAGGACAATATTATGATACGATCCAGAGGGGATGTTACAAATGGTATCAGAGTTGGGGCACGGTTCAATGTGTTCGACAAGTACGTCGAACCCTATAATGGGGGGGTGAAGGTGGGTTGCACCTGATCTTACATCGGCTTGGAAGGAGAACGAAACATTTCATTATAAGGGGTGTGGATACCTTCCTTGTCACAACGCAGATCTCATAAGAACTCTATAGTTAAGCGTGCCCGGGCGAGAGCAATCCAGGGATGGGTGACCCCCTGGGAAGTTTTCGTACCGGGAGCTCAAAGTGGACAATATTGTGATACGTGCCAGAGGGGGATGTTACATGTCGCCTCTCAACTAAGCCATTTTCTTCACTTGTATGAGGGCAAGAGAGGTGACGAACAATGCCAATGGAATTAAAGAAAGTGTGAAGCTTGCGAAATTCACCACCCCGATCAGTTTGAACGACCTTGATTTTTGTAGAGAATTGTCGTTCAGTCACAGCAAGAAATTGTTTAAATACATCAAAAACACCAGACTTGCGTTTAAGAGGAAATATCCACATAAAACGAGAAAAATCATCCACACCAAGTAAGAAATAGGTATGACCATCATATGAGGTAACTGGGGCCGGACCCCAGACATCACAAACAACAAGATCTAAAAAATGTTTACTATTAAAACTTGAAGTAGATAAATGAAGTTTTGAAGATTTCCCAATATGACACAAATTACAAAAAGAATCTGAAGATTTGTTAGATTCAGGAAGACGGTATTTAGAACACATAAAATTCAAAAGTTGTGAATGAGGGTGCCCCAGCTGTTGATGCCAAATATCAGAAGAAGCTCTAAACGTAGTGTATGCAACTTTGGGAAGACGCTGGAAGGATGGAAGACGGGTGGAGTAAAGCCCATTATCACTTGGACTCGTGAGGAGGGTAATTTTGGTAATATTGTCATTCACAGCAAAAAAAAGACGAGTGAAATTAAAATAAAACATTATTGTCGACACAAAACTTTTGAACGTAAAGAAGATTCTTTTTAATTTCCAGAACATGAAGAATATTGGATAACGGAAATGTTTTTGAGGGTGAATAGAAAAAAGTAGAACCAATATGAAGAATAGGTAAACCCATACCATTGCCAACATGAAGAGCATCCTCGCCAAAGTAAGGTGTGTGGTTGTCTAGTGATGAGAGATCATGAGATACATAGTTGCTTGAGCCAGTATCGGGTGTCTAGTAGTTTGAGATCGATTTTCTGCAAAGTTGGCAGTGGGCTGTGAGCAAGTACGCATGGTATTAGGATCTTGGTTGGGACATTGGGAAGGAATGTGCCCAATATCGCACCGATTGCATGTGCAAAAAACTGTATTTTGTGTAGAAGCCCAAGAGAATTGATCCCGATTCCCCCCTGATGAGTGTGAGAGGCTGCCCCGACCTCGTTTGTTGTTGGATCTGTGGCCCCTGGAAGCAGGAGGGCGGACGGTGTAGAACACATGAGGGCTTGAAGAAGGGTCTGAGCTTGGTTGTAAACCAAGCTAGTTGAGAAGTTGTTGAAGAGCTTGCAATTGATCAGTTGGTAAGGTAGTTGAGTTGGAGGTGGACCGGTTGGTGGTGGCGGCAGCAAACGCCTGAATAGGGGCCACGATGGGGGTGGTTTTCCTTATCATGAAGTCATGATCAGCAAGGAGGCCGTTAAGGTCTTGGAAAGAGGTGGGTTTTTTCGAGCAAGAATGTTGGGCTTAAGTCCATTGTATTCTTCACGGAGACCTAAAATCACAAGCATAACAAGATCTTTTTCTTTAACCGGTTCACCAGTGTTGGCAAGTGCATCAGAATATTCTTGAGCATGTAAAAGATAGGCGGAGGCTGTTTCATCATGCTTCATCTCAAGTTTAAGAAGCTGTGTTTTGAGAGTATATTCTCGAGAGGATGATTGAGGAGTATAGGCTTGTTGTAAGGAAATCCATAGATCCCTGGATGTTGTACCTTGTGCATAGGGATAGGAAGCTTCAGAGATAGTAGAGAGAAGAAGCATACATACGTGTGCATCATTGGCTATCCAAGAGGCATAAAACAGGTTTGGCTGGGGATCAGTGGTGGTGGCTTTTTCTGCTGCCGGTAAAGTTGAATCTGGACATGGTATAGTGTAACACTAGTCAAAATAGGTCAATAACAATACACATGTGATTATACCAATCATGATGTGATCTTGTTAAACTAGTAATGTGATAAACTTACTATGTAGTTCATGATAAATTCTAATACAAATATGAACTTTCATACATATTTTATGATACAAATCAAAGTATACGTCCATACGATTCCAAAAATATAGAGAACGTCGAAATCTGGCTTCACGTGAAGAAGTTATGATAAACTCTAACACTATAAAATCTCTATAACAATAGGAATTTAAAATAGTCTTAGAATTAGCTATTGGAATCTAATAGAGAGTTTTAGTACTCGGAATTACCTACGTGTGGATATAAAGAACGTCAAAAACAGAGTTCGTATGCAAAAGTTACGACCTTCCAAAGTTACAGCTGTCTTAGAGCATGACACGTGTCAGAAACCCTAATCTGACTGGACTCACGACGTGAGCATAAAAACTCACGATGTGAGGAGTCAAACCGCCACATTTTGAAGCTAGAAGTCTATGGAACGATAACCCAAAAGCTCACGACGTGAGCAATGTTTTCTCACGACGCGAGGACGCTGCAGGACACTATTCGAGGCTAGAAAACACGCGTTAAAGCTACGGGATGACTCTTGCCATAGCTCACGACGTGAATCTATCATTCTCATGTCGTGAGGGCCAAAAATCAGCCTATAAATAGAGGTTTCGACCTCAGCCATTCCTCACACCTAATCTCTTATCTCTCTCTCGTTTGCTGAAGCCGTTTCGCTTCCCGAGCCCGGTGATCACGAACCGCTGACTGTTTTCAGTTAGATTCTATCGAAGCATGATATTAAGGTGAGTTTCACGGCCCCACTTTTTAATATTTTCGGGGGAAAACGCATGCTAAATATTGAATAAATGTTAATATTATGTTTATGTGATAGTATGTTCGTATCAACATATATAGTTATATTAACCGGGATATAGTTGTTTTGTCTCATATATACCTAGAGTATATATGATATTTTGAAATCACACAACTATGTTAAACTTGTTAGCATGTTAGTATTATAGATGTATACTAATATATACCCGGAATTATACTCGGGAATTCAATATATATATTATGTGTGATGTAGCCTATGAGTTATACTCCGGGGTTCTATATATACTATGTTGTGTGATAGACCCAGAGTTATACTCGGAAGTTATATATATTATTTGTTAAGTATATTGTTATTAATGGTTTTATGTTAAGATAAAACCTGGTTTGTTATATGTTATTGTTGTTGGTTTTATGTCAAGATAAAACCTGGTTTTACTTCAAGTTATGGTTGTTATACTGCCTAAATGTTATGAAATTAGGAGTAATGTTTAAAAGCATAGTCTAGTAACTTAGGGTTTTAGACACGAAAATGCTTTTGTTATTAGAACTATAGAACGCCGTCAAAGTTTACATGAGCTATTGTATTCATCAACTAAGATTGGAAATCTTAGTGGAAATCCTCTAACCTGTAACCGTTAATCCCGTGTGAGAGAGGAAGTTGTATATAGATCTATACGGGTTGACAACCCCACCCGTGGTTGCTAGCTCCAACCCAACGGTATTCGGGTGACGAACTTGCCTAATTTACTACCTTCTGACGTCGATGAAGCGTGCGGAAACTACCGCAAGGTGTGATCCTTGTACTACCGCAAGGTGTGATCCTTGTACTACCGCAAGGTATGATCCTTGTACTACCGCAATGTGTGATCCTTGTAACTACCACAAGGTGTGATCCTTGTAATAATAATAAGAGGTATAAAACTAAGTCATACAGTCGCAGCTACAGACTCACGGTAGCACAACTTTAGAAGCATTATACTTTGTCGATATACAAGTATGAATGTTAAGTATAAGTTTCTCAAAGACTTATACTCTAAGTATAAGAATCTAGTAGGTATATTACTTGTATATTAAGTAGACCACTATACCTATTCTACTTACTCATATAGAATTAAAATAGATTTATACGTAGCGGTTTTACTCGTATAGAATTGAAATAGATTTATACGTAGCGGTTTTACTCGTATAGAATTGAAATAAGATTTATACGTAGCAACCTTAGTATGTATGGGATTACAAACATTTGTATGAGACTTATAGGTATACTACTTATTTGGTAAGTAAACCATTATACCTAGGATATATATATATATATATATATACATATATATATATATATAGTAAATGTTGGAGAGTCAAAACGATACTTTCAAAACTATACTTTTGAATTGAGAAAAAGTACTATTTCTACTTAGAGTCAAAACCTATGAACTTACCAACTTTATGTTGACGTATTTTAAA